GGTCAGCCCTGAAGCTGTCAGGCAGTTGGACTAGATGAGTGTTTTAGGTCCCTTCCAACTGAACTATTCTATTCTACTGTATTGGGGAGCCCAGAACTGGACACAGGACTCAGGTGTGCCCTTGCCTCCATAGATCTGGTGGCAACTTGTAACTTTTTCCAGTTTTCAGGAAAGAAAGTAGTAGAGGAAAGAGGTTATCTTTCCCTGTCTCTAATGATGCCTTCTCTTTTTCATAGAATCATTAAAGTTGGAAAAGACCTTTAAGATCATCAAGTCCAACCATCAACCTAGCACAATTGCCATGTTCACCATGTCCTCATGTCATATCCACACGTTTTTTGAACACTTCCAGGGATGGTAACTACCATTTCCCTGGGCAGCCATTTCTAATGCTTTACAACCATTTCAGTGAAGAAATTTTTCCTAATATCCAATCTAAACCTCCACTGGTGCAACTTGAGGCAGTTTCCTCTCATCCTGTCACTTGTTACCTGGGAGAAGAGAGTGACCCCCACCTGGCTACAACCTCTTTTCAGGTAGTTGTAGAGACTGGTAAGGTCCTCAGCCTCCTTTTCTCTTGGTGTAGCCTCCCCAAGCTCCCTCAGCTGCTCCTCATCAGACTTGTGTTCCAGACCCTTCACCAGCTCTGTTACCTTCTCTGGACATGCTCCAGCACTTCATTGTCTTTCTTGTAGTGAGGGGCCCAAAACTGAATCCAGGATTTGAGGTGCAGCCTCACCAGTGCCGAGTATAGGGGGGCAATCACTTCCCTGGTCCTGCTGGCCACATTATTGCTGATAGAACCAGGATACCATTGACCTTCTTGCCCACCTGGGCACACTGCTGGCTCATGTTTAGCAGCTGTTGACCAGCACCCCCAAGTCCTTTTCTGCTGAGCAGCTTTCCATCCACTCTTCCCCAAGCCTGTAGCACTGAAGGGAGTTGCTGCGACCCAAGTCCAACACCCAGTACTTGACCTTGTTGAACCTCATACAACTGGTCTCGGTCCATCAATCCAACCTGTCCAGATCCCTCTGCAGAGCCTTTTTGCCCTCCAGCAGATTAACACTCCTGCCCAACTTGATGTAATCTGTGAACTTGGTGAGGGTACACTTGATCACCTCATCCAGGTTGTCAATGAAGATATTAAACAGGGCTGGCCCCAATAATGAGCCATGGGGAACACCACTCGTGATCGGCCACCAGATGGATGTAGCACAGTTTACCACCACTCTCTGGGAATAGCCATCCAGTGAGTTTTTAAGCCAGTTGAGAGTACACCCATCCACAACACGAGCAGACAATTTCTCCAGGAGACTGCTATGGGAAATGGTGTCAAAGGCTTTATTGAAGTCCAGGTAGACAACATCCACAGCCTTTCCCTCATCCACTAGGTGGGTCACCTTGTCATAGAAAGAGATCGGGTTGGTCAAGCAGGACCTGCCTTTTATAAACCCATGCTTGTTGGGCCTCATCCCACGGTTGTTCTGCACATACTGTGTGATGGCACTCCAGATGATCAGCTCCATGATCTTCCCCAGCACTGAGGTCAGGGTGACAGGCCTGTACTTCCTTGGATCCTCCTTCCAAACCTTCTTATAGATGAACATCACATTTGCCAATTTCCAGTCACCTGGGACCTCCCTGGTTGACCAGGACTGAATGATTGACTAAATGATTGAAAGTGTCTTGGTGAGCTCTTCTGCCAGCTCCCTCAGTACCCTTGAGTGGATCCCATCTGGTTCCATGGACTTGTGGGTGTCTAAGTGGCATAGCAGGTCACTGACCATTCCCTCCTGGATTATGGGGGCATCATTTTGCTCCCTCCCTATGTCTTCCAGCTCATGGGGCTGGGTACCTTGAGGACAACTGGTCTTGCTATTTAAGACTGAGGCAAAGAAGGCATAAAGTACCTCAACCTTTTCCTCATCTTTTGTTACTGTGTTCCCCCCCCACAACAAAGGATGGAGATTCTCCTTGGGCCTCCTTTTGTTTCTGATGCATTTGTAGAAACTCTTTTTGTTGTCTTTTACAGCAGTGGCCAGATTAAGTTTTAGCTGGGCTTTTGCACTTCTAATGTTCTCCCTTCATGACCTCACAACATCCTTGTAGTCCTCCTAAGTTGCCTGCCCCTTTTTCCAGAGGTGATAAACTCTCTTTTTTCTCCCTGAGTTCCAGCCAAAGCTCTCTGTTCAACCAGGCCGGTCTTCTTCCCCACCGGCTCATCTCTCAGCACATGGGGACTGTCTGTTCCTGTATCTTTAAGATGTCCCTCTTAAAGCATGTCCAGCCTTCCTGGACTCCTTTGCCCTTCAAGACTGCTGCCCAAGGGGCTGTCTCAACCAGTCTCCTAAATAGGCCAAAGTCCGCCCTCCAGAAATCCAAAGGAGCAGTTCTGCTGACACCCCTCCTTACTTCTCTCGGAATTGAAAACTCTTTGATTCCTCTTCATTTCCTGGTTGATGTTTCCCCATGTGAACAAGTGATAACACTCTACTGTTAGTTATGATTTTCAGTTATTTTTCTCTTGGAAATTACAGCATATCTTTCCTGAGTACGTTTTATTTCAATTCATTTGAAAGTTATATATAGTGATCAGCTTTACAAGTAATTGAAAGTGAGAAATAGTTTCCATTTTCCTGTGGGACACATTAAATTCATTTTAAAGAGGCAAGCGTTTAAGAATAGTTCAGACCCTACATTCTGCGGCAGAATCAGTTTATTTCAGCTCAAGCTGGCACCTCCAGAGAGTTACTCCCAACAAAGAAATCCCTGGGCCTTTATACCTTCACAGTCTGTGCACATGATCTTCACACGTTTTTCACGCTCCTCTTCGTCCAATGGCGTTTCATGGTCTGGGGTCTTCTAACACTTGATTGTATTCTTTCTACATGTCCACACAGGCAGGACATTAACTGCTCTTATCTTCCAGCTTGGTCCAGCCTTGGGGCCCTCCAGGGTCTCAATTCTTATCTGCAGGTATCCAGTCTTTGTTTCCGCCCCTGCTTAGCCATTCGTGCTAACAAACACTTCATTCAGAGTTCACCTATGCCAAGCTTTGAGCAGAGCCCATTCATACTAAGCTGTAAACAAGTTACAATTAAAGCATAGAATCACAGAATCATAGAATATGCTGAGTGGGAAGGGACACATCAGGATCATTGAGTCCAATTCCTGGGCCTATGCAGGACACCCCAAGAATTCTACCATGTGCCTGAGAGTGTTGTCCAAATGCTTGGTGCTGTGGTCACTTCCCCGGGGAGCCTGTTCCAGTGCTTAACCACCCTCTGGGTGAAAAATCTTTTCCTGATATCCAACCTAAACCTCCCCTGACTCAGCTTAATGCCATTTCCTCGAGTCTGTCACTGGTCACGAAAGTGAAGAGATTGGTACTTGCCCCTCTGTTTCCCCTCATGAGGAAGTTGAAACCACAATGAGGTCTCCCCTCAGTCTCCTCCAGGCTGAACAAACCAAGTGACCTCAACCACTCCTCATAAGGCTTTCCCTCCAGACCCTGCAGCATTCTTGTGGCCCTCCTTTGGATGCTCTCTAATAGCTTAATGTCTTCCTTATCTTGCGGTGACCAAAACTGCACACAGTACTCGAGGCGAAGCTGCACGAGCACAGAATAGAGTGGGACAATCACCTCTTTTGACTGACTGGTGATGCTTTGCCTGATGCCCCCTAGGACACGGTTGGCCCTTTTGGCTGCCAGGGCACTGCTGACTCATATTCAACTTGCCATCGACCAGGACCCCCAGGTCCCTTTCCACAGCACTGCTTTCCAGTATCTCATTCCTCAGTCTATACACACAACCAGGGTTGCCCCGTACCAGGTGCAGAATCCAGCACTTGCCCTTGTTAAACTTCATATGGTTGGTGATTGCAAATCACTACTTAAACCTACACAATTAATTTATAATATTCTAGAAGTAAACTTATTTTAATCCTCAACAGCGAGGAAAGCTATTCAGAACTAGAACAAATATTATATATACAACTGCCCTTACTGATTTCATTAAAAATTCAGAAATATTTTTGAGTTACAACTGATGGGAATTTTTGATAAGATAAATAAAGTAGGCATGCGAACACGGAAGCTACAAAAAGGCTGATGTTCCAGGCAAATAGTTTTTATTTTAATTTGCTTTTAATGCGTAAATAGCAAGATTATCAAAGTTTTGAAAAACTTCATCTCGTTTACTATGCTGTAGACTTTAAAAATCACTTTTCTCTACCAAAACCAATCCCTTCATTCAGTTTTGTTGTCCATGTAATACTGGTATTCTCCTGTATTTCTTTTTGTCTTTTAAGAATATTAAGTCCACAAAAAGAACACTTTGGTTTATTAGCAAGAAATAGTGAAACAAAAAATTATAAAACCCAAAAGAACTATTTTAAACAACTCTGAGCTGCATAAATTTGGCCATCAGTTTGTTCTGCATTAACTTCACTTTCAAATATCTCTTAATCTTAAAATTTCCATTGGCATAACCCCTGTACTTCTGAATATCTTTTCCTTTATATTTCTTCATTCACTTCTAAGACAACTGTGCAGCCTTGTATTTTTTACCATTGACTCTTTCAGAATTTCACTAATAACTGTTTAATCTGTATTCCAGCCCTGCTCTCTTCCTGCTTTTCTGTTGCAGATTTAAATATTTGACATGAGTTATTTAGTTAAGTTTGGCAATACAAATTTTTAAATATTTATTTCAAAATAAGTATAACAGTCATTGCTGATAAGAGGAAGGTATTTAAATGAGGTAATTACTTTGTTACCTTTTTAGGTAGTTAATGTATAGCTTTAAATAGAAATCTATAATGGCTTGGATCCATTATTTGGTGGTGAAATTTTGTTATGATACTTCACTGTTTTGATATGCGCCTGAATATTTTTATAGGTCATCCTAGGCTTTCTGTTAATAGTGACTTTGAACAGCCTTGGATCAGATTGGATGTGTGACATTTAACACTTTTTTTTTTGTACTAATCTATAGGCAGCAGTTAAATTGAAAAAAGCTACAGATACCTATAAATTGTATGTGGAGAAATATGCTGCAGTTAAATCTGCTTTTGAACAGAAGATGACAGAAACTGCACAGGTAAGTGTTATATTAAATCACTTTAAAATAAATTTATGTGTTCGATTTTACCTCTCTGATATTTGAAATCAAAGCTTTTAAAAATTGGTTCAAGATAGAATTATCTCCATTGGAAATTGATATGAACAATAATGTCAAAAGTAATATGTTTGAAGGGCGAACATTGACCATGTATGTTGTGATGGCAGTGTCCTTGAATGACACAGTTCAACACTAGCACTCTGAAAGACTTTTTTAGGAAGAAAACTTTCAGAAGTATTGTAGATACATTGTGATCATGTGGGAAATCTTGTGAATTGCTGGAGAGATAGAACTCATTCATAGGAGTTTTAAAACTGAGATCTATCATGTTGTTTTCATTATCATTCTGTCAAAACACTTCAGTAACAGCTTGTGAAAGTGACTTTCCAGGGTTTATCTGAGGTGGTCAAAAGCCCCTACATCTTATCAAATTTTTGTTTTGGTTTGGTTTTTTAAAGCTGTTTTAATCTGTATTTCAGAGGATATCAAGTTCTCTGTATGATTGTATATTCTGCTGATTATTATGTTTTAAAGTTTCTTTTTCAAATTTGTTGATTTTGTTATTTACCTTGCTCTGGGAGTTACTGAACCCCTGCTGAAATAGATTCTGTGAATGCTTCTGATTCACTTCAGAGCAAATTCAGTCAGGTTGATTTAAAACTTTATTTAGTCTCACAAAAGCTGTCTGCTATCTATTCCTTACCTTACAATAGACTGTGTTTATAGCAGTTGACTTACTGGTCTCTGAAACAATAAGAAAACAATTAACAAATAGACTGGCCTTGCTAAAAGTGCACTGCAAACTTGTCTCTAACAAGCAAGAAAGCTGAGTAATGAACAAGAGTTTTTGTTTAGAACTGACAGAAGATAAACATGAAGAGTATTTGAAATGGATTTTATTGTCAGTGAAGGAAAATTTAGGGGTTTTCAGCAAGAAAATTAGCTTGGCTTTTCATAATATCTTTAAAAAGATTCATTTGAACAACAAAAGAATGAAAAAAGTAACATTTTATTTTGTATCTAGAGACCTGTCATGGTTTGAGATACCCCAAAATCTAATTCCCTAGCTCCATCCCCCCTCCCACATCTCAACCCAATGTGAGATGGGTTTTTCCAGACAAAACACAACCAGACTCAGAATGGGGGAAAGGGAATTTATTACAATGACTGTACAAATAAATACTATAACACATTATACACACGATCACAACTATCTCTACCATGACATATAGTATTTACAATGGATCAGATCTCTTCTCCCCTCCAAATAAAAGTCCAGGAGGGAAAGAAGGACAGATCCCTTCCAGTCCCTAAGCAGGAATCTCTTCTAAGGCAGCAGGTCTCCTCATCTCATGCATGCAGCAGTAACTGGATTGTTGTAGCTGGATCTCTGTTCAATACACACAAGGGGGTCTCCAAGCCCCTTGGCCCGTCGTCTCCAAAATGAGGGTCTTTCTCTTCCGTGGACTGCGTAGCAGGGACAAGCTCACGTCACCACGTCATACTACAAAGCTCAGGGGTCTTCGTGGCAGTCCCTTTCCTCAGGGCATTCAAATTCCCCTTTGCAGAGCTCTGTGCTCTGCCTCAAGGCAACGGGGGGGCGAAGTCCTCCTCCACATTCCTTTCTGTCCCGGTCCAGCTTCCCAGGACGCTCTGAGCTTCTCAGCTACTCTCTCTCTCTCTCTCTCTGGTGCTGCATGTCCAAAACTGCTCTCCAAAATAGGAGTCCATCTCCCTCTTTTTCTCAGAGGGATCAAAGGAGTTTGGGGGGTCTGGTATCAGTTCTTACCCCCAGAACTCTGTAACTCTGCTGCGGGCTCTCTTTTCCTCGACTCTCCTTCCAGGAGTTCTTTCTCTGGTGCTGCATGTCTCTGTTGCTCCGTCTTATCTCTTCTGGCTCTCTGCCACCGTTTCTCTGGTCAGTGCCGGCTGCTGCTTTCTCCGACCGCTGCCCACGATGGAGAAAAACATCTCCCGGCATAACTACAGGCACCCAGCCCAGCTTTATGCTGTTCCAGGTCCCTGCAGCTCCCCCATCCAGGGGCTGGGAGGCCCCAGAGGCCCCGAGGGGCTCCGGGCCCCTTTCCTCGTGGCCCTACAACATGGCCACCTCACCTACAACCCCAAACTACAACTCTTCTCTTCCAGTCTGGTTGTGGTATGTTTACATTTCTGCAGGAGCGCCCATTGGACAGAATTTCAAAACTTCCAGGGGTCTCCACCCCTCGGGGGTTTCCACTTCCTTAGCCTCTGGGGAAAAACAAGGTTCAAACCACTACAAGACCGAATTTGAAGATGCTTTTTGTTCAGCTTTATTTGTGTTATTGGGCCCGGTCCGGAACTTGGGTGTGAAGTGTGGCCCTGGCCTGGCCCGGGCACGGGCGCGCGGCGAGGCCCGGCCCCGGGCGCTCGGCCGGCCCCGGGCGCAGAAAGGAGAGAGAGAGGAGGAGCTTCGCTGGCACGGACTGTGCCCTCATGGGAGATGAGAGGGGGAGCCTGGGAGCACACAGAGGAGAAGGACAACTCTAAACCTGGGCAGATGGAGCTCAATTAGCCCTGTAAGGCCATCCATCTAAGAGAAGGTCACTCTAATTAAACCTACGTCCTGAGGACCCCACTGCCACCGTCCAAATGTTGCGATCTGCTTAAATATTGCAGAAAGAATTTTTATATTCGAATATTCCCTTGAGCAAAATTAAAACTCATACAAGTTATCTGTTGATACCAAAACTGTTTTTATTAATTGCTAAGAGATGCAAAGAGAAAGAGGAAAAAATAAGAAAAGGTTAGAAAATGCTAAGATTACTTTTAGGAGCAGAGAAAAGATTACCACCAAAAAAACTACCTTTTAGTCCAAGCTGATCTGTGGAGTGGGGGGGAGGAGAGAGAGAGAAACAGTTTTTGCCTTTTTTTTTTTCTCTAGTCTCTGCTGCTTTCGATGTGATGTTATCTCTTTAGCTGCAGGGGGTCTTAGTTCTCTGAAATGCAGCCAGGATGTGGGCCTCTCCACAGCTCATAAGCTCACACTGGGCAGCCCCAGGCCATGCGGAGGTCTCGGTATGCACTTCTCAGCCCTCAGAAATATGGTCAGGGTGGAAAAACTCACGTGGCTACGTAGCATGGTGGGTCTCAGTCCACTCCAAGACGGCAGAGGTCCAGTCTCGGACAGGCAGCTTCCAGGTGGCAGAAGGAAAGGTGAGGGCGAGGCGGAGGGCGAGTTAGCGGTTATAGCCAACTCTCTTTTCCATTCCTCTTTCCCTGCTCTTCCCAAACTTTTCCTCATCTTTTATAGTGTTCAAAGGAGGTTGTGTGTGGTTTCTTGGCACGTAGGCCTATTCAGATGTTCGCAGAGATATGATAACCATGAACAATACCAGGATCTTTTGGCAGGAAAACTCCAGTGGGAAAATCTTGGTGAGAACTTCTGGTGGAAAACTGACACAGAAGTTTTGGTAGGAAGTTTTTGACAGGCAGAAACAATGGCGACACATAATTTTTGGCATTTGTATGTTATCTGTCTGTTATACCCTGGCAGATGAACCTTAGGATTAAAGGGTGGGTTTAATTCCGCGCACACCGCGTCTCACATAAAAAATCCATTGCGCAGGCCCGAAGGCCTTACCCACATTTGCAAAGCCCTGTAGCGACATCTTCTACAAATGCAGTCACACAAAGATCAAGACAAAGGCATATACACCTGTCTCCAAAGGTGTACCTGAATTAACTCTAGCATGCTGGAACATCAGAACCATGCTCGATTCTGCGGATAGCGGACGTCCTGAGCGTCAGTCTGCCCTAATAGCCCATGAACTGTCACGTCTCAACATCGACATTGCTGCTCTCAGTGAAGTTCGCCTTCATGAAGAAGGCAGCCTTAGAGAACATGGTGCCGATTACACACTCTTTTGGTCAGGTAAACCCAGAACTGAAAAGCATCTCTCAGGAGTCAACTTCATGATTAAAAACTCTCTTGTTCCTAAACTCAAAAATCTGCCGACAGGTCATTCTGACCGCATTATCTCCCTACGCCTTCCACTACACAACAAGCAACACGTTGTCCTCTTTAGTATATATGCCCCAACTCTCCAAGCTGACCCTGCTGAAAAAGATAAATTCTACACCGACCTGCACCGCCTTACCCAAAAGGTCCCTGCAGATGATAAGATCATTATCTTCGGTGATTTCAATGCCAGAGTAGGAAAGAATTTTGAAACCTGGAAAGGAACATTAGGCAAGCATGGTGTTGGAAGCTGCAACGATAATGGTCGACTTCTGCTAGAATTCTGTGCAGAGCAACAGTTCACCATCACTAATACTATCTTTCAGCAGAAAAATAGTCTGAAGACAACTTGGATGCATCCCAGATCCAAGCATTGGCACCTCATCGAGTATGTCTTAGTGCGCTGGAGAGATGTTCGCAATGTCCACCACACCTGCGTGATGCCCAGTGCAGAATGCCAAACAGACCATCGACTGCTGCGCTGTAAACTTAACCTCAATCTTAAATTCAAACCTAAAAGGGGCAGTATCCCAAGGAGAAGACTCCAAGTTAACAATCTCCAATCAGCCACAGTGAGAAACAAATTCCAGGCTAATCTTCAAACTAGGTTCGAAAATCATTCTGTAGATTCTACAGATTCCTCCCCTAAAACACTTTGGTACCATATTAAAAACAGCATCCTGCAATCCTCCGAAGAATCCTTAGGGTTCTCCCTCAAGAAGAACAAGGACTGGTTTGACGAAAACAATCAAGAAATCCAGGATTTGTTGAGGAAGAAGAGAACCACCCACCAAGCACACCTTGCACTGCCATCCTGTCATGCAAAAAAAACAGCCTTTCGCCTTGCATGCAGCAAGCTCCAACTCAAACTCTGTGACATCCAGAACAATTGGTGGATCAATCTAGCTGAAAAAACACAATTATGCACAGACACGGGTGATCACAGAGGATTCTGTGAAGCCCTGAAAACAGCATACGG